AGGAGTCAATGTTGAGCCTCCCTGCATATCGGGTGTCGGCTGTCCGATTGCCTCACGGATGGCAGCAGTCACAATGTAGAATTCGAGGCCGACCGTGAAACATACAGGGCTTGCGCGTCGTCAACAGAAACGTACAGTACATTCCGCGAGCATTCGACCAAGTACGAATTCCTCGTGTGCTAGGCCAGCCGGCATCCCGGTGAGGATCCTCGCATACTGGCTTATCGTGGCTGGCAATTTCTTGGGTCCTCGGAGTAGTGTGAAGCGCGACTCCTGGTCTTCCGAACGTACACACGTGGGTGCAGATATGCGCTATTGCGTCCGATAATCGACGGCGGCGTGGCGGTCGACGCTTCTACCCGGGGCGTTGACGGGACCGTAGATGAAGCCCACACTCGCCAATCATTGGTGTTTCTGGACAAGCTCATTACCTCCACCTACGAATGGAACGCCTCAAACCCGAAGTACCTTAGGTAATGAGAGGCGGCGCCCGGACGCAGCACAGGTCAGATCTTGACGTGCCTTAGTCTGTATGGGAGTCCCAGCTTGTCATCGGGGAAGCAGACGGGTATGCCGCCCCACTTCGGCTTTGTTTCAAAGCTTATGAGGTCGAGCATCGCAGTGGTCGAAGCTGAAAACAATCGCAATTCAGATGCCAATGAAACTGTCGACTTGTACAGTTGTTTTTGAAGATCGACGTGCTGGAATAGCATCACGGTTCTCACAGGGTCTCTGCCCGCACACGGAGCAGTGAAGAGCACCAAATCACGTGGCTTTGGCAGATGGCGCTAGCACAACTACAGGCATCGGCCCCAGCTATTTGCTCACGCGATTACGGCAATCTTGCAATGAGACATTCATCCCCACTTCAGCGGTTATGTGGAACCTTTCCGATCTATTGAGGCACTTCACCATGTATCCTCTCAGCTAAAAGGTACCATCAAAGTTCTTGTCTTTGGTATCCATAACCCCGCCCGCCTCTGTATTTGCTATTGGCGCCCCTGCGTTAAGGGCGATAAAATTTATTGTTACCCGCCACATGCTGTGGCCCACCAGTGAGTTCGGACTCTCGTGGCGTCACAGTCGGCGATGTCTCTAGGCCGACGCTATGCACAGCGTGTGCTTCCCTATGTATCCACAGTCTCTATTGCGCCATTAGACCTGCCACCAACGGCCCTTAGTACTACACTACTAATCCATATACCCCAATTCAAAACGCCATCTTTGGAAATTAACTTCGAACGACGCGCTCGGATTTTCAAGCAGCTTAGGTTTCCCGTATCGACCAGACTAAAGTCTCTCATCCTTGACAGCCCGATTGACGACCGTTTTCTCGACATGTATTTGAAATACAGAGTCAATGCTGAAAGGAGCTCAAACAGCTGCAGGGGCTTCAGATCGTGCTATTGATCTACATGCCAGACAGCGGCGTAGGCGACTACGGGATTGCAACATACCGAGATGGCATGGCAGTACACCTGTCTCTCCACCCCTCCGTGGAAAGCACTGTCCAAGATTCAATTACATGCCCTTGGGGTATCCCTACCAAGAGAGCAGAGCTGAATGCTGGATGGATGTGACCAATCTACACCTCCCGAGGACCGGTGCTCCCTCCTTCCACTTCCAGTCCTTTGTGACCGGGACCAGATAGGTTGAGACTTGCATGTGAGTAATCTGTGTGGCAGGTTTCCGTGCCAGGGTGTATCGATCGCGTCGTAGTATCTCACCGGACCATCCGTGCGGACCCTTAAGGTATCTCGTGCAGAGGGCGATTGCTTCAACCTCCCACACTGGGACACAAAGATCCGAAGTGCAGGGTTTCGTTGAGCCGCGTGGCTCGGGGACAACTCTTCGACCTAAGGTCGATGCGGTTGATGCTGGTAAGTGAGGTTTGGAGGGGTTGCAATACTAAGAAATTCTTCTTCCGAAATCGTGGACCTGCAGTAGTCTCAAACGAGTGCTGGACACCATCATGCGGCATCAAATCTCGCACTTCAACCTCCAAAAAATGATGGACCACCATGGAATGCTCGTGTACAACGGAGCTCATATCGCAGCGGTGTGGACTCCTCTTAGTCTCTGTCCTTCATCGAGCGGTCTTTGTGCAAGATTGTTGTAGTGCCAAGATATCGGATACCTAGGCATAGTCCAAAATCACTTGGCCACTTCACTCATTTCTCTCTGTTGTACGAACCCCGGGCTGCCAGAAACCCCCATCGCTCATATTTCCCGTTTGCGTCCGGTTCATTGATACTTCCTTGACAGGCGTTGGCTGTGCGGACGGCAACAGCGGCGGCGGCGCACGGAACCAGCGGCAGCAGGCCGCGGTCCTTGTTCGGTGGTACTGGACTGCGATCGCCACCTAGTGGTCTGTCTGTGTTAGTGTCCGCTTCACAAGATGTCGACTCTTGAGTGAAGCGAATGGTTCGTGAACCTTATGCTAGCCAAATGACGCATGCATGTGCGTGATGCTAACCGAGCAAAGATCCTAGGCCCGCGGGTCAAAGACGCACAGTTCGTCCTGTCAGGCCCACCTTGGTTAGGCGGACAGGTCAGCCGCAGATACCAGTGACCAAACGGATAGGCTCGATCGCTTCCCCGGGGCCGCTGATGTGTTTCATCCCATATTCCCTGCCTTCACCATCAGATCGCGTTCGACACCATCGTACAGCCACGGCTGCTCATGTAATCCCCTGAATACTTCCAAATCGCTTGGTGCTCGCGTATCTACACCGCATTGTATACTAGTGTGGAAGACATCAACCTATTCGCGCTCCAGGGCTCACTGTCGATCACTTCTTGGGTCTTGAGTGGTCAGCAACAAAGTGCTGTACGGTGTAGTTAGCTCCGGGGCTACCTCTAGCAACCTTGACGGTTATCCGGCGGGCAAGCATCGCTACCAGCGCTTCGCTTCCAAGTTGTCCTGCAGTCTTCTCATCTCGGTATCTACCGTGAAGAGGAGAGATACTTTGCAGTCTGACGGGTACCGATATCGACATGTGGTTTCAATGGATAAGGTGCAATGTGGTTGCGCTACAACAGTATTATGTTCCGGAATATACCATGGGGTATCGCAACAGGCTGATCTAGCGCGACTAACGCTCCAAACCCCAATCGCAATTCAACACCTCTACCGCGAAGCTGTGAGATCCTCCGCGGAAGGAATGACAACGAAGCAACTGAGCTTGACCGCCAGACGTCTCAGAACTGTTGACTTGGAGCTACCGCATTTTGAAACCTTGGAATGTAGGCTCAACACCATCATTCATGCCCAGCAGACACACTCACATCGCAGTGCAGCAGTATGCTTGAACAACACTCACCGCAAGTACGAAGGCATATCCAACAGGGGAGCAAGACATAGGATGCTCGTCCAACAGCGGCTAATAACGATCGCAAGGCGAATGCTGAGCTCGGTAGTAGCAGCCAACAGTGCCGATGCAATGCAGCCGTCAAAGCTAATCACGGAAGAGGTACATAAGCCGGCCCTGACATGCACCGACTACGGTTGAATCCTGTAGAGAATTAGCAGTGAATTCCCAGCCTCTGTGCCTCTCAACATGTTACATCACACTGTGATACCTGGAACACCCTGGCAGCAAAGCTTCACTGCGCGCAGCTGCCCCAGCCATCTTCCTGCTCACGGCACGCACGCCTCCCACGCAGATCTCCTTTTCTATTGCCACCTTGATCGCCTTCTAGAAAAGATCGATGTGGATGATCAAACACGCTACACCTCAGTGGCGTAACGTACAGATCTCTCATCGCTCGCCTCTTGATACAGATGAGATCGCAAGCGATACACTGTACTTCGACTCCAAGACCACTCTCTTCTTGAAATCTCGAAATGGCGGTAAATCGGTCTAGAAGAGTCTGGTACACTACCGGCTTACGTGCATGCCAAAGTGGTAGCGTGGAGATGCTTGACTTTTGATGTATACAGTAAGTCACGCGTCGATCACTACGTACAACATGCATATCAATACACAGTGTCATCATGTTTCCGAGAAAATCTTGATCATTCGCTGCGACTTAGGCGCCATGATTCCAGAAGTTCGAAAATCTCCAGCCACGATATGGTGTTCTGTAATGGTGTGTAGCTTGAGTCAGTTTCCTTGCCAGTTCGTATCGGAGTCTTCATCGGATCTGATGCACCTTCATCGCCCCTGCGCCCGGGAATGAGAATCTGCATTTAGAACCATGTACTGCTGCATGGCCGACTACACGCTAGTCGACTTGGCGTGAAGGACGGGTGCTGAGTGTATATCCGGAAAGCGATGATGACAGAATGAAGATTGCGCAAACAGGGGAGGTGCATGAACTTCCAGGATCAGCTGACTGAAACTAACTCGTTCGAACGCAGCGTGCATGATCTGAGAACGCGATTCCGATGTACCTGACCGTTCCGCTACAGCGGGTCGATAGAATGGCGTCAGACAGATAGCAAGAAACCGAGTCGTGAGTGTGAACATGCAATGCGATACTTGAGGTGTGCTGCCGTCCTAGCTGGATAGCTCGCAATCATGTTGCATCATACCAGTTGCAGGGACGAATCTGAAGCGTCAGGGACCAAGCGATCCTTTGGTCGATAATCGGCATGTGGAGGCCAGTTGAGGACCTTGGCATAACCTATTTACCGGGTGTCAATATGACGAGTTTGAAGTGCCAGTTTGACACCGGTAGTAGCCGTGATTGTGCTAAAGACTTCCTGATCCATCTCTTTGCAACATGTATCCTCGATCCATGACCGATCACATTTCTCCATCTACAACGATTGTTAGTCAAGGACATTTTCGGTCGCGCCGCTGGTATCAGAGTGGTCGGCGAGGTATTTTGATGCGCCCCACCGATCAGAACGCAACGCTCCGTGCCCTCGAGATCTAGGGAACGGCAGCCTGTAGCCGCCGTAGGATTATATGCGCAACGCTCAAAACGGAACTGTACTAAGCCTAGCGTACCTCTTGTTGCTATATGCACAATTGTATCTGCCAACTCAAAGTTCAAGATGGCGGGGTCATGGAGCGCAGAGAGGTACTATTAACCTCCTTGACCCAGACCAGATACTGCCATTGTTGTTGCAGATAGGCGAGCTGTTGTGTCTTTGCGCCTGTGGTCTGTGAGAGTTGTGATAGGGTGCGGCCCAGTTGTGCGACGCCACCAGGGACGCTGTGTGCATTACGCGAAGCCACTGGCTGCCGGAACACATACCCACCAATGGCACCTGCGTTCGTAGTGGTGGGCGTGTCTGGAGACTTACTCCAGGACGCTCGCCCTCGTCGAGGCGGGCTCCCGAGCGGCATCTCGACGAGATACGTCGGCAGCATTCCGGCCCTTCCCAGCTACCTAATCCGCCCCGCCAGCCGCTTCCCCAACTCCAACCAGGAACTTTTCCACCCACACAGATTTGAAAAGAAATACCAGATCTTGCATTTCCCTTGACGATGGATCCATCGCGAGCATTCGGCCCTTCTCGATATCCCTCCAGATCTTCATCGGTGAGCGTGCCCGCTTCCGCTTCCGCATTTCGTCAATCTTGCATGACAGCCGTGCCTCTAGATCTCGGTAGCTCGTAATGTACCGACCAACCGAGTTTCAGGTCAACATATCTATCAACTGTGCAAGCTGACGCTCCTGGCGGTGGAAATCAGTCGACACATACTGTGGCCTAACACGTGGGGTTGCCGGCGAGGCCGTCATGTACGCGCAGCATGTCAGGGCGACGTCGAATCCGCGATCGATCAGATTCCGCATCAGTCAATAGGAAATGCGCATCATGTAACGGACCACCTCCATCAAAAGATGTGAGTGAAGAGAGGTACGGAACTTCCACATGATACAAACCTGTGCATTGGCGAAGCATACGACTTGAGTCTCACAACGCTGTGTGAGGACCACATTGCAACCGTTCGCCACCCTTGAGGGATTTCGGGGGCACGCCTCACTGACGCGTTTGCACCCTTCCCTCCCAAGAATAGACCTTCTCTGCATCGCCAAACTGCAAAAGAATGGGATGAATCGCTGTGCTGAGATCCCCCTTTCCAAACCCATGCTGATCGCCACTGCCCCATTCCGCCACTGATCGAGCGTTTCCCAACATTATGGAGCTGGAGTGAGGCTGAACATCCTATCAAGGATACATCGCCACCAACATCACATTCTTGCGCAGCCTCTGATGAAAATCCTCACTGCGACTCAATGGCCTTCGATGTCAATCTTGTCAGCATGTACGGTTGCAGCCAAGCGCACGCCATTAGAGGCTAATCAGTATTCTGTCTTTACTGCATTCTTCCCTGCTATAGCAAGTCGGATTTTGGCACCACGCTCAGCAGACAAGCCGGCGGCATTGCGTTTCCGGAGAACGTTCGTATATGATCATCCAACGGCAGCTTACGGCATGCTAACATTATTCCGGAACATCGTTGTTGTATTAAAACGTAACGGTCGCTGCTCGCAGTAGAATCCTTCTGCACGTTGACTGAAAGAAGTAGTGCTTGCGTCGTACCCTGCAGGTGGAGATATCTGATGTTACAGATCTGACAACGTCAAATTTGCAATTGACGAGGCTGAGACTTCTAACTGGAAGCCTCGGTCATGTATGCAGAAGACTATTCCTTCGTTTAGGCCCATAAGGTAGGACTAGGCCTCGTCCACATGAAGCCACGTTTCATGAGAAAGGATGGATTATTTGGCTAGCTTATCTTGTCGTCCTCCCACTCAGTGCTTCATCTCTCATTGGTCGACCACTCAATTCCACATACTCATATGAGTCTAACTGCGTGCAAGGCAGTCTATCAGCCTCTGCACTGCTCCCTAAACCCGCAGCTACCGAGTCTTCAACCGCCGGATCGAGTGTTATCACACAATCTTGTCACATACGTACTTCAGAGGCACTAGGGATGTGCTTGGACCGTGAAGGAGACTCTGTTGGGAAAGTAGGCCGCGCGTATCAATGTCGAATTTTAATGAGCGCTCGAGACACGTTATACTCAACCAAATGCTTCCGGCGTGTAAGGATCAGGACGTGCTCTTTTCTATGACGCTGAGGAGAGTATTGCAGTGAGCGTCATTCGGCCTTGTAGTGTCATATCCTAGGCGGTCGGACTTCAGGCACATCGCAGCCTTTTCAGTCTTAGAATCCGCCTTTCGTTGTTCGATCAATCTTAGAAGGCCACAATTACTGAGTAATGTATCTACGCTCGCCAGATGTACGACGTAACGGCCCAGCTTCACATCCAGATCGCTCATTCTGGAGAGCCGGATACTTCACACCTTTCTGTTTACAGTGAAGCTACAGTGGGAGGCCTTGTGACAAGCGTGATGGTAGAATTTGCATTCAAGATGCACTCTTCATGCATAAGGAAGATAGGATCATGTAGGGCACGGTGTTTAGTAGTGACCATGTTAGCTTCAGATTAGATGCATTGTACGCAGCACGCAAGACATACGGACTTGCTCGGTATACGCTCACAGACCATAAAACGGAGTTTGGTTGATGGATTCAACAACCGGAAGCTCATCGTCAGCTCCAGCCTCGTTCTGAGAGAAGGGTTGACGGACCACTAGACTTGTAACGGTAATAACTGCGATACATATTTCTCAAATACTTCGCCAGGATTGGATGCGGGAGAGCGTGATTCTTCGAAATGACGTATGATAGGAAATAGTCATCAGATACAACTGCAACATGTTCTACAGCAACCGAAATATGAACGGACAAGTTTTCATCTTGCCCTCCATGTTATGGTTGTGGATTAACTGCGCTCCTTCTCTTGATTACTCAATCCATCAGCTGTTTCCGATACACATACCTGCGTAAGCAGCTATTCTCTCATCCTTGGATAGGCGTCAGGATATTCGGCCCCAAAGCCCGAGAGTTGGATAGATTCAATCTCCAGAGTTACCTGGTAACCTAATACTTCGCGCCCGTAGACTACTCACTCATCCCCTCAGCCCAATACTCCCCACTCCACAGACCGTGTAAGCGCTTATACTTGGGTAGCTCCAGCTCGGAAGTCGACATGCGACAAAACATTGGACCCACCCTCCGCTACCAATAGCATCATACTTGAGCCATTCAGCTGGACGACTTGGCTCATACAAGCGCGATAGCAAGCGTGATGATAAGTGATTGGACCCGCAGAACCATCAGCACAACATGACGTCTAGATACAATTTGCGGCTATCATTAGCTCTAGAGACCATTCAAACACTACCGGAGTACTATCTGAAATAGGGCTGACCGATACCCAAGAACCCAAATTTTGGTTGCCGGTACGCTAAGACCGTAGGCAAGTTAGGCAAGTTAGGCGGACTTTCTATAGGTCAAACGCCTTGTGATACTCGATCGACCAAAGTGTTGACACACGCTGCACACGCTGTCACGACACGTTGTGTTATTCGGCGACAGCGGTTACAGCGGGGCGCGTGATTTAATCGTGTGGTCATGCTAATAGAACTACGGTTATAATGGATAAGAGTAAGATCTATGGAGCAACTTGTTGCTTTACTCGAGTAACGCGCGGCTATATTTAGTAGTCAGGAGAGTCAACCGTCCGGATTTCTATACCCGTAACTCCTAGTAGATTCATGTATACGGAAGTTTTCGGATGAATGTAGACTACCGACGTGATTTCTGCGATAGGTACAACGTATCAACATGTTGCATCAAGGTGCCTTGTGAGTGCATGATGTCTATATTTCGAATGCGTGTCACATTTGGTTGGCTCCCAGCTTATTCCTGGTATCACTGTGAACATCTCCTCTGCTTACAGAGAGAACATCTCCTGTACTACGTACCAAAATACATCCACCAACATATTCTGACATACCTCGAGCTTGACTCAGCATACTTGAACACAACGAACATATCCATCAATAGTGTGAAAAACTGCTTGTCACTATACCGAGCTCTGTGACAACCTCTTCATCCAGCGTAACGTTATATCTTGCTAAAACTACCTTTCCCTCTGCTTCAGAAAAATCTCTAACCAGCCAACCGTTATAGAGACGGTACATAGACTTTATGTTATTAAACTCCTCAATTACAGACTGGATATCATCGGCCTCGAATTCATTCAATTTGAGTTCGACACCGTCTTGAATCAAATTCTTGAGTCACAATACGAAAAGGAGACTGCTGGCGAAATGATCGTGTGACCCAATACAGTAGCGGAAGTTGGAGACTATCTTCGTATCGAGTCGACGTCTTCGAATCTTGATGCACTCTTTGGAGAATACCACGATGGCTGTGTGTTTCTTGAAACCACGTAAGAACACGTGGATAGTACCATGGCTTGGGTCCCCAAGACATGGCTTGAGGAGAATTCAGGCCAGAAGATCTCCATCACTGCTAATACCGTCCCATCATTGTATGAATCCGTCAGATTCTTACTTCTCGAATATCGTGCAAATACTGTGCTTCTGATAGACGAAACTGTAAAAGCTTCTCGAATCGATGATGAACCGAGAGGTTTCACCAGGTAGCGTATCCAGCTTGAGCACGAGGCAAGGTGCTGCCTCTTCACAAATCAAACGGCAAGTGGCCAGGAACCACACTGGCAGCGTTTTGACAACAAGTGCCATGTGTGATCATGGTATTGCTTTCTCCTCGAATTTGCACCTGGAGGTCGGGACCTTGAGCCGGTGGCGACAAGCAGATTTCTCAATCTGCTCATGTACTGTATCGTAGCTCTACAGGAAGGTCTAGGAGCCGGAAAGCCTTGTCTGATATCGATGAACAAAATAGCTTGGGTGAGGGTATTGAGATTGCTATATAGCATGATTTGGAGTGACAGTAATTGAGGCTTGCTTGGTGCGGCTGGCCAGATGTAGGAGGCCGATTGTAGTGAGTTTGTTCCACGAAGGGAATGGAGGTTTGATATTTGACAATGACTGAAAGGTAAAATGGCAGATGCTCAATTACCGCGGGAGACGCTTTGATGTTAGTCGCTGCTTGTCGGGGCTCCTTCTGGTCACAAGGAGCACTTGTCTCATATGCGACCGTTGAGAGTCTTCCTAAGAAGCGAGAGCAGGTTCTTGTGAGAGTGCCTTGGAGTAATTGATGAACAAGCTTCGTGACACGTCGTGCATGACAGCAAGTCTATGAACACGAGCGCGTCGGGACATGTCGACTCGAGTCGCATAATTCATATTGGGTATCTCAACATCTTCATTCTCATCTCTTCCCCTTCTTGCCCTTTCCTTTTCCCTTGGAACCCCCACCGCCTGTGATACTCTGCACATCCTTCTTACTCAGACTCAGTGTACCGCCCCTGAACTTTCCTATACTGGGTCCTCCAAC